GAAGGAAGGAAGGAAGGAAGGAAGGAAGGAAGGAAGGAAGGAAGGAAGGAAGGAAGGAAGGAAGGAAGGAAGGAAGAAAAGAAGGAGCTGTGTTGCCCAAGTGGCCAGTTCCAGTTAGGTCCCCAGTGGGGCAGCTCCCACTACTCCTCACAGAGGTTGTTGTCTGTCCTTTGCTCTCGAGGAGGATCATGACATCGGGGAGGTGAGGCCACGACATGCAAGTGAATCAGACTGAAGTGAGGGAGGACTGTACAAAGTTACCAGCCTCACTTTCTCCTCCAGAACCATCTGGGTCCATTGAATCCAACTGCCTGAATTGGGAATAATAAGTACACTGAGTGTAACAGAATATGAACTTCCCAATGAACCTTTTTTGGAAAACACAAAATGAAGTTTTGCAAATGCATTTTAACTGCAGAAGATTCCCTCAAATAATATTCCAGAGTTATCTGAAAAACTCATAATCACAAAGATCTTTGCAAAAATAGGAGCTCCTTCCTCTTTCTAGGCTTTGTCATATCTTGGTTACTCTTTACACTGGAAATTTTTCCCCAAAAATCCATTTCTTTTCTGTATTGAAGGTCCTCACCTTAAGAAGTCTATTCTCAATTTATACCATTTAAGGGAGTAAGTATGGAGAAGAAAAGATTGATTTTTTGCTTCTAACAGAGCTGTTTGCAATGGCTTAATATGCTCTGAATGAGGGAGTTACTAAGTGATCATGAGAATGAAGGTCAGACTTAAATTGAGGCATTTTTGGTTAGAAATATCAACAGCAAACCAAGCTCCAGTTGTCCCAACTTATCAACCAGATGAGATACTTTAACCCTTACTTTACTCAAAGGAATCTCAGTTTTCTGAAAGTTGGGTCTACTTTCCAGTCTTTGTGCTCCATGGGATCCTTCTAGACCACTCACCTATTATGCAAACTAGACACAATGCCAAAGAAGATTGGCCCCTTCCTTGGCAAGGAAACTGAGAAGCTACCTGTAAACAATGTCTCACATTCCCAACACAAGATTAAGCAAATGAATATAATGGAGCCCAGGTGTTCAACTAATTACTAATTTAAGAATAAATGAAGAAAAGAGAAATATTAATCCTCCATGCAAGTTGTTGTGATATTACAGAATCCATCATAATGAAGCAGTGACCCCACTTGTGAAGAGGTTAACCACACAAATGGTACTGCATTGACCAAAATGTTAATAAGGTTGTGTGTGGCAGTAGGTAAGCAAGGGATGGCAGACAGAAGCTATTGTAATGGGCAAATAATTATCATCGAAGTCATGTCTTGGGTAATGACTAGGATTCACATCACATATCTTTTCAGTCACAGCACAATTTCTCCAGCTCTGTTTATAGTAATCTATGGGATTATTTGACAGCAAGGTGACATTTTGACTTTGGAACAAATTTTTCTCATAGAAAGCACAATTACTCACTGATACAGTGACATTCAATTAGACACAGACATGCCATATAATTTGGATGTTTTTTCAGACATACAAATATTAGATATGGTGTTCATTAAAACATCAGAGTCATCACTCTTAGACACAGACCTTTCTGGCTAAATGGTTTAGTCAGATGCAGATTGATGAGTTAATTGAAAATTTTTAATTGTCCAATTTTTAACTAGGAAATTTCACAATTTAAAATAAAGGAGAACCAGTATTTGGAACCAGTATTAATGTCCATGACATATTGGGCTTCTGCTCTATGGAGAAATTTTGTTGAGAACACAAAAGATATGCCCATGACAAATCCAAACCCATGCAAAAGAAAGCCAGGCTCAGTGGATAAGACCTAGGGTCAAGAAGACTGAGTTCAAATCCAGCCTCTGACACTTACTAGCTGTGTGACTCTGGGCAAACCATTTAACCTCTCTGAGCCTCAGTTTCCTCATCTGTAAATGAGGACAATAATAGCACCTATTTCCCAGGGTTGTTGTGAGGATAAAACAAGGCAATATTTGTGAAGTGTTTTTCAAACCTTAAAGGTCTATATAAATGCTACCTATTATTCTATCACAACAGAAAATGTAGTGTGTTATAAATATTTAAGAACTTTCATTAAGACTAGGTCTCCTGGTCATGCCCAGGAGAGCATCAGCAGTGAACCTGGTTGAGTGTGAAAAATCTTTCCTAAACTTCCAAGTTATGCCAAGATCAAAGACAGAATTGTGTTCCCAGATCTCACATATCCAGCATAAAGCTCACAGTCAAATATGACCCTCCTGACCCCAGGGTATATAGCCCACCTCAGTTTTTACTGACTAATATTTTGCCTAATTAGCCAGCCTGCCTGAAATAGTAAACTTATAGAACCTAAAACTCTGCGATTTCTGGCTATGTGGCCAAACTCTGGGAAAAATTTGGGTCCCCCTGTTTCTGTGAAAATACGTTCTTTCCTAAAACTCTGAAATCAAAGATAAGCACTACCACCAGTAATATAAACCTGGAAAAAGAACTGAGATGTCCCCTGACTGAATACATCTCACAGTCCTCAAGAAAAATTCTATTGATTCTATTACACAATTTTAATTGAGTCTCTTTTACTTATCAAGATTATTCAGTGACTGGCACCAGGCTTTTAACTGTGTACTTTTGCATGACTAAAGATGAATGCCTTATCAGATTTACAGTTGGAAGGACCATCTGATCCAACACCACCATTTTATAGGTGAGGAAATCAGGGCAGCTAGGTGGCACAATGGATATAGCACCAAGCCTGGAGTCAGAGAGACTCAACTTCCTGACTCCAGCCTCAGATACTTACCAGCTGTGTGACCCTGGGCAACTCACTTAACCCTG